TAACATTTGCCGGTTCACTGGTGTTGTCGTTCCTACTGGGCTGTTTTTTTTTTTGCAAGCGTGAACTTATTTACGGTTCAGGTATCTACTCAGCTTCGTATGGGTCTGCGTCAGTGGTGGTGCAGATGAAAATGATCACTAAATGGTAGCACAGGCAGGGGATCGACAGGGCATCTCTGGAATATGAAGGCACAGCGCCAATCCAGAGCCAGAACCAACCATAGCCTCAAGCATTTAAAAACATGAATTGCTTTGCCAGGCACTTCGAGTAAAACTTCTGCAACCACAAGCATTGCGGCCTCTCACATCGCTGGCATGGGTAGGTTTTAACCGCACGATATTGGAACATACGCGTCTCTTCATGACGAATCGGCCGCCCTACTGACTTCGTCTCTGAAAAGCTCAAACGAAACGCAGTCTCGAAGCGTAATTACGGCGTAGAGTACCGCGTACCCGGTGACCCCAGCGCGTAACACGCCGGGGTCATCGAGTCCCGAACGACCGCACTTACCGCGTCCCGGCATTTAATCCAACAGCGCGGTCTGACTGGCTGGACGCCTCGCTGCGTCAGCCAATCAGGGGCCAGCGGCTCTGGCCTCGTTCCGCTCTCGTCCCTGTCGGACTATGTCAGTTCCGGTGTGCGGTCGGCGGGGTGCGCGGGTGGCCGCCGGTGGCCGAGTGGGAGAGAGAGAGAGAGAGAGAGTGCGTGCATGTGCGAGTCTCCGCGTCCCTTCTCGTCCGCTCCTCGAGTATTGGCCAGCGGTGAGGAAACGACGGCTGCGTGCTGCGCACAGCCAATGCACACTGCTCAAAGCTGGGACAGCTCCGGACCGGACGGGTGAGACGCGGCGCTGCGCTAGCGTCGCCTGCGACCGAGGCCCGGTCTGTGGGACGACCGCTGCGTGCCTGTTGAGGGTCGGGGTCAGCTCGCCGATTGCGATCGACTCCAAATTCCCACCCAGCACGTTACGTAACGTCCGCGATGCCGCGGGCTCTCAAGGGAGTGGCCGCGCCGCCGGCAGCGCTGCACCGTGCACCAGTGCAGCATGCGTGAGCGGCGCCTGCAAACCCGTCCACCAGAAGGGCGTCACCGCGGATGACTGCGTTTCTCTTCACGGGCGCGCTCTGAATTGATGACTACAGGTGCTGTTGCATGTTGAAACGCCTAGTTTCAGTGCGGTACATTTTGCGGTACGTCTTGTCTGCCCGCCAAGGATGTATATTTGACGCCTTTGTACCTTTTCGCAGCTAGCTCGTCGCTCCCTGGAAAAAGACGCCGCCCCCATGTCATCGCTCTGTGGCAAAATGGTGATCAAAACACGAGTGCACCAGCATAGCCAAAGGGTGACCAAAGCACGCTCAGTCTAACACACAACACGCTGGAATTACTAATGGGTAATTGTTCGCACTGCCATCCTCGTCTTATTTGTGAATTTGTATAAAACATTCCAACCAGTTCATTTTCCCGCTGTGGGTGGAATTTACTGAGCCCTGGACAGCGCTCACGGTGTGGTTCTACGGCCATGCACACGTCGCATCCCGAATATTCTCTACTTGGGATTGCTGGAATCCAATCTATAATGTTCTCATTACCAATCCGCAATGCTTCCGCTTGGCTATCCGGGAAAGACAAGGGGTTCATTCCTGATTGGGAGTTATTTCTTGTTAGTTTAGTGATGTTTAGATCAGGTGAGTTGAACTGAGTTTACTAGGAAGGATAACCGGGGTCCTTCCAAGCTGGAAGGCCTTCCCGGTTAGACCTGCGGTAGAACGCTGAACTCGTAATTACAAGATTCCAGTTCCAATCCCAGCAATGCTGAGGATTAAAGCTCGTGTTGTGTCTCGTACATGGCCTAAAGTTAAAGATCATCCAGTCCTTCTCAATATAACCTGACCACGGCCGGAGAATGAAGTGAAACGTTGTGTGCGCACAACTCAGGAGCCGACCACGATTCGCCAACAATCAGTTCATCCGGAATTATGATGCTTGGACTCAATAATTCCGTATTTCGTATTCCGTGTTTTGTAACACGTTGGAAGTGTACCACTTCAACAATGTGAAGTGCGGGCAAGGTGGGCCCTATTTTCACAAGCTTAAGAGCATGGCTTGACCCGACCTATGCCGGCTTAACATGGCCCGTGCCCGACCGGACCCGACCCAACCTAACACGGCCCGTGCCCCATCCGACGTTACCCGATCCGACCCGACCTGACCCGACCTAACATGGCCCGTGCCCCACCCGAGCCGACCTGACCTGACCTGACCTGACCCAACCCGACCGGACGTCTGTGGGCGTTGGGCGGAGAGCAAAGCCGTGAAGATCCTAGATGCCCTCCCCCGAACCTTTGACCCGTGGTACCGCCTGTGACAGTGATCTGACAACCCTAAACAATTATTATGAGGCGAACTGTATTCTTTAATTCCAGGACGGTTATTGTAGTGCAGAGTTTTTCGGTCGCGGCTCAAATTAAATGCGGTAGCAGGTGGTTTTAGCCTTTCTGAACGCGACATGGTCTTGGTGTAAGGATGTGCGAGCTGTACGTTTCGCAGCGATTTCAAATCAATTTGTACTGTTATTAGTAGTTCACAGCAATCACGGAAATATGATGTATGCTGCTACCATCACTACCACGCACACAAAGGACATGCATGCTCGATGCGCGACCAAGCGGCGGTTAAAAACTCGAATGAACGTAAATATTGTCTTAAGCACCTTGCGGTATTGCCGTCACTAAATTAGGGCAGCACGGATGCGTAGTGGGTATGGTCTGTTCTTTCGCCGAAGCGTAAACTGTGCAAAAATGAAGCGGGTTATTGGGCCAGCGACGCCAAGCTGCACAGTGTGGGCGCCGGCTGATGCGCGGCGTGTGCTCCTGATGGCAGGTGACCGCTCGTATGGTGGCCTACATGCGGGTGGCCGCTCGTACGGTGGCCTACATGCGGGTGGCCGCTCGTACGGTGGCCCACATGCGGGTGGCCGCTCGTACGGTGGCCCACATGCGGGTGGCCGCTCGTACGGTGGCCCACATGCGGGTGACCGCTCGTACGGTAGCCCACATGCGGGTGGCCGTTCGTGCGGTGGCCCGCATACGATGGCCGCCCGTGCCGTGGCCCGCATACGGTGACCGCCCGTGCCGTGGCCCGCACACGGTGGCCGCTCGTGCGGTGGCCGCTCATGCGGTGGTCCAAATGCGGTGGCTCACACGTACTCGTCAAACAGCTGTTTGTTGTGCGTTCCCAAGGCCCGAGAACGTAGGTGTCTGCTTGTTTTGAGGAAACACGGAAATTTCACAAAACACTGAATCAATGAAACTTCAAGAGAAATATCCGTAAATGGCATAGCAGCACTGAATGCTCAACGTACGCTACACACTGTCCTGTTGTGAGCGACTTTCGACGGCGGCGGATCTACTACGAATGTTTTCAGAGCCATTCAATGGCAGTTATCGTAGGCAGTGGGAACATTTCGACCACACAGCACTTACGGCGACCACGCGCATCCTGGAATATCTTGTTGGTTAGGGCGGACCAATGCGAATAGAAGTTAAGTGGATCCAGTGACCCTGAATGTGTCTGTGATCAACCGCCAAGTCAACGCAAGGAGCACTCTCTGTTTGCTTTCTTGGCGGTCCTCCACCTGCAGCCAACATGGGATGATTCTCCTTCCTGAGCGTCGCTCGGGGATCTTGAATACATCTTATCGAGCCACGTAAGAGAAAGTGTGTGCATAAGATCAAGACTTTGATGAAGATCCCGCACAGCGAATATGCTGTCACCTACAGCTTTTACTTAAAAGAGAACCTGCTTCCCAAGGACACGCATATATATATATATATATATATATATATATATATATATATATATCCATTGGGAGGCATGCATGTTCGGACGAGTCCTCGCAACCGGCTAGCACAGTGCTGCTCAATCTTTTCAGGCTCACTTTGCCATGACGATTGGTCGAGTTATGACTGCCCAAAATAAGCAAACTTCAAGGAGCGTAACCCATGCGCATTATTGTGTCGCATTTTATTGTGAACAGTATCATATGAGCTTCTGATTTGCCCGCAGAAGTGCTCTGCAGATTAGTCGTATTTGGGGAGCGCAAATCAAAAGTCGCAATTGTACACTCGGTATCTTGCTGGTACCCGAACACGCCATACTAACGGTAACCCTGTCGCTGTGTTTGGTCACGTTATCAGATATTTTCAGCCTGATACCTGCAATATACACAATGATATACACCCTTCAGGTAACGCCTATCTGTTGGGGCTGCCTAGATGGCTATCTGTCTGGAGTCATATATGTTAGCTACATTGCAGTTCACCCCCCCCCCCCCCCTGTCCCCCCGAGGTTTTCGTATTACCTGTTGGAGGAGATGGGACCCTCATGTTCAGAAGGATTGCGTTTGCGTTTCAGGTTTATGCTGGAGTGCGTGCTTACAGTGCACAACTTCAGCTTACTTCGCCGTGATGTCGTGGGATATCTCCGCGCGCTTCAGAGCGATGTTCAATAGAATGCTTGCGTGACAAACGCAGCATGGATCAGCTGGCGGGCCGGGCCACCTGTCGTGGCCTACATGCTCTGCCGCGCATCAGGCGCGTGGGGGACGGCCGTTTGACTCACACGCCGTTTCACTCTCCTCTGGGACACGTGACGCAATGCAGGCAGTGAGTCCGCGCCGAATTCGAACAGCTCTGACTGTGTTTTGACTTGTGGGAGGCTCAACCTCGTGCCGTGCGAGATCCATTTGACTCACTCTAGACGCTGGTGCGTTCGGGACCAGTCCCTGCGCCGCCTTGTTCCACGTAACCGAGACCAGTCCCTGCGCCGCCTTGTGCCATGCACCCGGGACTAGCCCTGCGCTGCCTTGAGCCAAGCGAACGCGTTTCGCATGTCGACCTGACCCCCGCTCAACCGCGCAGCAGCCGTCTGGCCCGTCCCCGGTCAAGGCCACCCGGCCCAGGTCAAGGTCACGAGTAACGCAGTGCGCGGTCGGCAGGTAATGTGCGTTCTCGGCCAGTCGACAGCAAACTTGATAAGTTCGGCCATGGACCAGGGAGCCGCACCGGGACCAGTGCCGCGCTGCGTGCCCGGCTTCACCTACTGCTCGGACGCCGTGCTAGTCCCACCGCCGCCCGACCCGCAGCGTCAGGTGAGCACAACACCTGTGATGCGCAGAATCCAGATGAACTTATCTGCTGCTTGGCTTTGTCGTCAACTTCCACGCTTCAGGTGAGCGTCTGGTGAGCGTCAAGTGAGTGTCGGGTGAGCGTTAGGTAAGTGTCGGGTGAGCGTTAGGTAAGCGTCAGGTGAGCGTCGAGTGAGCGTCAGGTAAGCGTCAGATGAGCGCCAGGTGAGCGTCGGGTGAGCGTCAGGTAAGCGTCGGGTGAGCGTCACGTAAGCGTCGGGTGAGCGTCAGGTAAGCGTCGGGTGAGCGTCAGGTAAGCGTCAGGTAAGCGTCGGGTGAGCGTTGGGTGAGCGCCAGGTGAGCGTCAGGTAAGCGTCAGGTGAGCATCAGATGAGCGCTAGGTGAGCATTGGGTGAGCGTCAGGTGAGCGTTAGGTCCGCTGGCCCGCCGACGCTGCGCCGTCGCACGCACGCGCGGCACGGCTGCGCGCTGATGCCGCTCTGTCGATACAGCAGTTGGTCGTGTGTGCTTTCATATTGCTGCGGGCAGATGGGCCACGCTAGCTCGTGATGATGATGCGTTTTGATATATGAGGTATTGACTGCTTGAGCTATCCGAAATATTGCGTGTATTTTCCGTGGCACTTATTGATGGGTGAATGAATGCTAAATCAGATAAACTCTATGCAGCGTGGAAGTTTGCGATAAAGCCGAGCAGCAAATAAGCTCACCTGGATTCTGCGCATCACTAGGCGTTGTTAAGTAGTTGTTGAAGGGTTCGTACCTTTTTAAGGAATCAGCAAATCCGCTCATCCACCAAAACAGCACCCTCGCATAATTCGGGCCTCAGGATCGTAAATATGTGTACTTCGAATCTGGAACGGAACAGATCACTGAATAGCATTTACGATAATATAAGCGTATTTGCTCTTATGGCTAATCAGTCTGGGCATTTGTCCTTGGTCATTGTCAATTGGTCATTGAACAAAATCGAAAAATTGCTAGTATCGTTGCTTCGTCTGTGTTCTGTTCCGTGCTCTGTGTCCCTGCGTCTGGATGATCTCCAGCATGCCGCTGACCCGGCAGCCGAGGCAGGATGGGGAGGCTGCCAACAAGACTCCATCAAGTTCCGACCTGACGGACGTCGGTGCAAGCTGCAGTCTCAAGTCGTCGTTCGACGCCAAAGAGCGCTTTTGGATCATGCAGAATCATCGGCTCAAGTCGGCTCTTATCAGGGTAAATTGGGCCGCCTGATATTCCAAGTCAGCTCAATTTGGTCCGGTTCCACTCGGCTTTAGCCCGCCCCGCCCCGCCCCGCCCCGTCCTGTCCCGTCGTACCACGCTGACCTTGCATGAATGTTTAGGCCGAGTAGCCCTTAGCCGTACCACCTTCACAGCTTTCCGTCCTTGCGTCCACGCGTCCCGCGCCAAGCGTGAGCGGCCGTCAGTGGCGCGTGTCTGTCAAGTCTGTAGAGCCTGATTCGAGCCCCTTGTGTCGCGAAACTTTTCACCAGCTGCATCGCGGCGACCGGCGGGGTAAGTTGCTGGTGGCCATGATATTGTGTTTCCCGAATGTATAATTAAATGTGATCACGTCGGCAAGACAACTAATCTACCATAAGCGTAGGACCGGCTCTTGGTCCTGCTCCAGCTGTGGCTGCCTTGCAGTGTCATGTTATGTGGGAGTGCCGTGTTGCGTGGGAGCGTCGCGGCGCTATGTTCTCGTGTCGTGCTACGTGGGAGCGTCGTGTTGTGCCGGAGCGTCGTGTTGCGCCGGAGCGTCGTGTTGCGTCGGGGCGTCGTGTTGCGTCGGAGCGTCGTGTTGCGCCGGAGCGTCGTGTTGCGTCGGAGCGTCGTGTTGCGTCGGAGCGTCGATCATTAACAGTGCAGGGCGACGCGCCATCAGACTCTGGAGCGTCTGCAGCAGCTGACCAACGAGAATAGCCTGCGCAGCCGGCTGCTGGAGCGACTGCTGGAGCTGCGGCAGCGGCCGGCGCAGCAGGAGGCGCAGCAGCCGCACGGCTCGGATGGCGCGCAGGTGAGCGAAGCGCCGCCAGTGGGGCTGGGACGGCCCACGGCGGCGAGCGGCGGTGGCGGCCGGGCGGTGTCGCCGCACCCACCAGACTGTAGCAGGGGCGCACTCGGCGTGCAGCATCTTTACAAAAGCGAAACAGCACCAGCATACGTACCAGCCTAAACGTCCTGCGTGGTCCTGGTCCTGCGCTCGACCAGTAGGCGTACATATTTATGCCGTGCTGCCAGGAACTCTGAGCTGCTAAACATTCCCGTTGCCAAACGAAAAAATATGCGCTCGCACCGGCACGTAGAACGACCTTCATCGCATTCCGTGCAAGATAACATCGCTTCGAACCTGCAACAGCCGATCATTTCAAGCTGCAGTACCGTAGGCCTCGTGGCGCCAGGACATCATGTCTCCAGTAGGCCCTGGCGTCACCGTTCGGACTAGGTTCTTGTCGTGATTGGCTACATCACTCCGGATGTTGTGGTACAATTCTGAAATATCGTAATCAATGACTTGCCGTGAAAATAATAAAAATTGTTGAAATATTTAAGTTGTATCTTGCGCAGCATGACGCGGTTGCCCCTTTCATCTCTGCCCTCCACCCTCCCATTGCCCTTGGAATAAGACTGCAAGTGTTTAAGGCTGATGTTCGCTAACCTGGTGCGAGGCCCGGCCATTACTCGGCATGTCTCAGGACGATTTCCACGTATGTCGCATGCTGGAGATGTCACGGCGGCGCAAGTACCGACGTCTGGCGCCGGAGATCCCCGTCACGCCGTGAACTTCTTGCCCACACTAAGCTTGCGTCACCCGGGTCGGACGCTGAGCTTCCTGTGACGCACGTGTGACAGGATATCGAGCAAACTGAGCTGTATAAGAAGTACGAAGCCCTGGTCAAGGAGACTTATCGGCTGGAACAGGCGTTGGCAGCCGCTAATCGCCGGGCTTCGCTGTATCCCGAAGAAGGTTCTGAGAAACGGCTGAGCGAGTACAGCGCCTTGGTCAACATGCAGGTGGGGATGAGCCCTTGCGTGTTGTTTCGGGTGCCGTGCACGCGTTTGCGTCTATGTGATCCCCGAAGTTGGTCATGCCATTTAAGGTTCTGATAATGCAAAATGCTTCATGTACGGATGGCTAATTGCATGGCACACCTATGACAAGCATCACCCACGACGAGAACATACGGGGTTCATTCGCAGCGACCCGGACGACAAAGAATGTATGCAGTCGACGTCACTGCCGGTGGCACACCCCATAGATTTTTTACCGTTTGGTGTTTGTGGCGGCCCGGACGGCAGAGATTTTACGTGACGTCACGTAGAACCTTTGCGGGACGCACAATTTTGTTCCGCTACCTGATCAAAGTGAGACGCAAATGGCGTTACAAGTTCAATTACAAACCAGTCAATTTAAGCGCCACATACCTATCACGGATGATAAAAAGGTGTGTTATGCGTCGCAAACACCATAATTACCAGCTTGCATTGTAAGGAATAGCGTGGTACGTGCGAACGTAAATGCAGTTATGTCCCATGCGCGGTTCTTTTCACAAAAATTACGAAGATATAAACAGAAGTCGTGTCACGCTCTGAATGCATCGCAAAGATAGTGTTTGATGTTACGTATAAAGAATATTCTTGGTCCGCGGCAAATGCACCCAAGGAGTCATCCTACGTTTTCATGCGATTCCTCCAGAACATGCATTCTCAAATCTAAAAATGTCGCCCAGTCCCAGGATGTCCGGCGTTCCTTCGTCGCTACATGAATTTCACATCTGAATCGTAAGCTGCGTCGCAACTGACAAGGATGTGGGGCTGCCCGCGCCTCTGCCGGCGATACGGAATGGGCGCAGAACGCTCCAGACTGTTCGGTGGGCATGCTGGCTTCCGTGTCTAGTGGTGAGAGTTGCAGTGCGAAGACCGCTGCCATTTTGGACATACGGAGTAAAGTGACCTAATCTGCTGCCATTTTCTGCAGCTGATGCCAATAATTGTGTGATACCCGTATCTAAACCGGAACGTAAGCCGGCTTTGCTTAAAGTACCGAGACATCGGAGCAGAAATCAAGAGACGTGCTTGCACTAGAGGTGTGAGGCCTGAGAGCAGAATAAGACCTTCGATTTGAACGTGCAGGGAATGTACATTTGCGACATCCAGGTCGGAAAATTAAAAAAACAGACACTTTCTTCAGAGAGGCCTTTGGGCCGCAAGAACTCCGGGGAAAATGTGATGACATGCCGATGAAACTCAACAGGCGTGGTACCCTCTCCAAATGAAATGGTCAACCCGAATGATTTCAACACGAATCAGACAAGCACTGTCATGTTTTCAGCACGTTCCATTGCTCCACAAATGTGTGGTACGCGGGAATTCAACTGCTTCGATTGTGCTAACAAGGCATGCATGGTGCTGCCCATTAATCCGGAGTTATTTCATCCTTGTGGTGCCGACACAAATTATGTAACCCATTGCGCCAGACAACCATACGGTGGCGGCCAGATGTTTGTTACGTAAAGCTCAAACCTGCGGGATTCCCATAAACCGGGAACTTGTTGGGGAGGATCCGAGGAACAGTGACCAACAGTAACAGATGGCCATCTAGGGTGTCTGCTGTGAAGAGGAATTTTTCGTCATGTTATCGCCCGTGTCCTCGCACAGGGCTGATGACGCCTCATGCAGCCATCCTCGCACAGAGACGACGAGGCGGACTGGCAAGAGTGAATAACCATGGTCACGTCTGCTCCCACTAGCGTGAGGGCCGAGAATCAGCTTGTGTGATTTCGGCGTCACCCAGTGAGGTGTCGGTAGCACACGAAAACTTCAAATAATGAGTGGCCAGGCTTACACCCTGGTCCTCCCCTGGATTGCTGCGATCGCCGGGGAGAACTTAGTTTTGTATGGCCGAGGATTCACCCTTGTTCTCACAGCAAATAATTGCGACCGAGGAGGACTTTCAGTGATAAGTGGCCGTGGTTTCGCCCTTGTCTTCCCGCCAGATGGCGGCGGTCACAGACGACTGGCGGGAGGAGCGGGAGGAGAAGGAGCGAGCGCTCGCTCTTAATGCCCAGCTTTACCAGAAGGTGGAGCACCTGCAGCAGCAGCTGGCCGAGCGGCGTCGCGTCGAGCCGTGCCCCTACGACTCGTTCGAGACGCTCGAGCCGTGGGAACCACCCATCGTCAGCGAGAGCGAGTGGCGGCGGCCGGCTCAGGTACGCCTGCGAGACGCCCCTCTCCGAGGAGGAGTGGGCGCGCGCTCGGTTGCCCAGGGGAGGGGCTTCCGTTGTGTGCCAGCACCTCGGAGATACGAACAGGTTGATTGGAGTGTGTTAGAACGATCAGCGTCCTTGGGCTTGATCGAATTTTGAGCGCTGCTTTGTTAGGCCATCATGACATCACTGGCACCGGGTCGCATTATTTTAGATCTTGGCCTTTGAAACTGACAGCACAGCTTGCAAAGTTAGTGGGACAGCTCTCAATAGAGCCCGTAGCGAATCGCTATCTCTCTTGGATCACATGACTCCTGCGGCCATTTCGGCGGCTGTAGTTTCTCAGAATCATTGCCTCCCACTACAGGCCACCTCTATCCCTATGTGTTTCAGACACGGTGTCCGCTGCCGCCGCCCGCCTATTTTCGCACGCAACGAAGCGGCGGCTCGCTGCCCAGTGTGAGTAGTGCTCTGCGCCATGCTGGGGGGGGGGGGGGGGGGGGGAGCGAGGAGCGAGGAGCGAGGAGCGAGGGTGGTGATTAGTGTCCTATGTGACTGCAAATATATCGTGGTGGGCAGGACAGTCGATGACACGGCCTGCTGCAGTAGCGCCAGACCTGACTTCCACAGTGGAGGCGATCAATGATCTGGGATGTTCATGCGTTGGCTTTGGGATGAAATTGGTCATTTTAGCTGTGAGTGGATGGCACGAAGTTCTGACGCGAGCTTTTGACCGTGAGCTTAACTGTCACTGTATGCAATGCACATATTTTTGTTATAACTGCGCTCTATGGCTCAACAGCGCAGCCATCTGTGTGGATATGAGTGCACTAGTGGCTGCAAGTCTTAGTTGTGAGTGTCATCATTTCCCATCCGTAATTGTATTGATGTTTGTTTTGCCAATGCGTGACATTTATGGCCATTGATGACCTTTACGTTGCTTTGTGACCTCTAACCCATCTCACTCTTCTGCGAATCGCAACTGTCGCTGATATCCATGACTGGTAATGCCTACGTTGTCGCCCCTCATCCCACGACCCCTCTGGAGCTGTGCGCCTTTCTGTGACTACGCGCCTCCTTGTGACTGTGCACCCTTCAAGGGCTGTGTGCCCTTCTGTGACTGTGTGCGTTTTTGTGACTGTGTGCCCCTCTATGGTCTGCCCTTCCCCCCAAAATTGCATTCCCCAAACGTCCCAATCCCGCTGAAACCTGTACACCCTTTTGCGTCACTCCCACGCTTCTGGCACCCGTGCACCCTCGGTGCTTCGTACAGCGTGCCCTCCCGTCGGCGTGCAGCCCCCTCTGACCAGCCCCGCGCCACCGACAGCCGCGCGGCCCGCCGCGACCTCCACCGAGAGGCACCTCGCGTTCGGTGGACGAGGTGCTCGCTGCGCCTTACGAGGCCGTGTGCTCGCCGCCGCCGCCGCCGGCGTCGCAGTGGCGCACGCCGCCGGTGCAGTGCGACGAGCGCCGGCGACCGCCGCTGATGCCGCGCGATAGCGGCTACTCGGAGCTGCTGCTGCGCGCCGGCCCGGCCCCCAACGGCGAGCGGGCTGAGGCGGACGCCGACAGCGGCTCTTGGTGTCGACCCACGCTCGGCGGCGTCGCGTCCGACGACTACACAGCCACGAACACGCGCCACGACGTGACGTGCCCGCACTGCGGTGTCGTGTTCACGTGCACGGAGCACCTGCTGTATCTGAACCACGTGGAGGAGTGTCCGCGGCGGCGGCAGCGCCCGCAAGGACGCACGCCCAACTGAAAGGCGCCGTTGGCAGCTGGGGCGCTGCAGGAGACGCAAGATGCGATGGGCGGTGCCCAGTCGCGGAGGAATGGCAGTGCCGCTGACAACTTGCCGCGGTATGTGGCTGCGTTAGCACCAGTGGGTGTGTCTTCTCTCGTTGGGGGCGTTGTCGTTTACGTGGAGTACATGAGCTGCTTCGTAGGGTGGCGACAAGTGTATGCATCGCTTGGAGATGCCTGATCAGCCTTTGATTCATGTAGCTGGAAACGGCGTGACAGTAATGGCACCTGTCATCATTAAACTGTTGCCCTCCAAGTGGGATGTTCCCAATCATCCACGTGAACAGCTGTCTCATTATTCTCTGTTTGCCTGACAATCTCGACGATACCATTTTGTACGTGTGTTGACATATGTTCCGCCCTCCTGTAACTTCTGTCTTAATTGTGCATACGTTGTTGGCTGCTGGGACACATTCTGAAAACCTTAAGTCGTCCGTGCAAGGCGAGATTTGCCCGTGCAACAATTTTTTTGAAGCACAATATCATGAAAGAAGTTAAAACGACCCTAAACAACATGAGCCCTGGCGTAATAGGCCATCGGTATGGGCGTGCCTATTACAAATAACATACGTCATGAGAGCCTCGAAAGCCTCTTGAAAGCCTCGGAAACCTGACGAGAGCCTTGGAAGCCTCATGAAATCTTTGAAAGACCTATGGGAATGGTGAGGTTATTATAGCCTCTTTTTGATGCATAAGGTTCAGCTCCCCCTCCGTTGTTGCCAGATAGGGCAGAGTGAAGTGAGGGCTGGAGAGCCAGGTGCAGGGGACGAGCTGGGTTGACTGCTTTTGGTGGATCCACGTTGATTAAGTTTCTTGTGTGGCAGTCCTGTTTGGAATGACTTATTGCAGTAATGTTTAGCATCATACCGCTTCCCCAGCTGGAAAGTTGTATGTGCTTGCGATACCTTCCGTTCAGATTTGGCTTCGAAATTCGTAGCTGATGGATCTATTGCTGGTCTTTGATAGTCGTAAATCATGATATATCGTCAATTGTGCCTAAACGCTGGGCCGTCCCCACTATGATAGCCATCGGGTAGACATACATCAGCGCTGTTTGCGATCACAATGCCGCTCTGCCTTAGCACTGTGAAGGATGTGTTGATTGCTCTTGGTTCCCGAGGGCTTCTTTTTGCACGTTTACAGCCGTGGGGAAGAGTGGTTTGACAACTAATTGCCTCGGGACGTTGCGTTTGTGCCGCTTGCATTTCTGATGTTACGCGCGTCTGAGGAAGCACGAACTATTGGTGCAGCCCAGTGACGTCATCATGGTGCGTGAGGAATGGCTCCACCCGAATTCCCGACAACTTTGTGGCAGGGTTCCTTTGCTTAATGCTGCTCAGCGCGTCCCCACCGTCTCGCCGAGCGCCCCCTGCGCCTCGCCTGGCGTCCCCTCCGCGTCGGCTGGCGTCCTCTTCGCCTCGCTGAGCGTTCCCTCCGTCTCGCCTGGAATCCCCTCCGCCTCGCCTGGCGTCCCCTCCGCGTCGCCAGGCGTCCCCTCCGCCTCGCCGAGCATTCCCTCCGCCTCGCCTCGCGTCCCTTCTGCCTCGCCAGGCGTCCCCCTGCCTCGCCGAGCGCCCCCTCCGCCTGGCCTGGCGTCCCCTCCGCCTCGCCGAGCGTTCCCTCCGTCTCGCCCGCCCGCCACCGCTGCACGGGCTTAGCGCAGTCCTCGGGATTAATGTGTTGTCTGACCGTGGAAAACGCAGCGGAAGAGACAGGCTGCCTTCCTGGCGAGGCGCGGCGGGGAGGGGGAGAAGGCTCCCTAGTGCGAGTTCACTACTTCATATCATTCCAGGAGAATTGAGTGCAATGCTCGTCAAGTCATTATCCCATAATGTGCCGCCATTTCAATGTTGTGGTGAAGTGGTCGCCGTCCTCTTTCGGATATCGAGCATTGGTATTTGCGTGATAAGCAGCGTTAGCACTTGTAGGTAATGTGAATGATCGTGTTTATTTTTCAGATAGCATATGAAGCGTTATAGCAATGCATTCCGGTAAGTGGTACTTGAATGTCGATTACAGTGTGCATGGATCCGGCTACTCATGCCGATAGAAGCTGTGTCGGGCGAAGCAAGTCGCGTGCTGCACGTCTGGGTTTCATTCATTTGCACTTAATGAAATGAAGCGTTTGTGACATAAAACGTGATAAGAGATGCACTATCGCGCGCAACTGCAGGACTGAGGCCGAGAGCTCCGATATGTAGAAGCTTGGAGTTATTCACATCAGATGCGACGAAAATGATAACACATACGGCCGCGTCACGACATGCACCCGCAGGCGTAAGATACGCAAAGTGAGCCGGGCGCCATAAGTGTCATGGAGCGTGAGCGCGCCCGCCTATCGGCCGGACCAGTTAAGTCCCCCCCCCCCACGCTTCGGCCCGGACTACGTCATACCTCACACCGGAGCAGGTGGGCCTACCGACGCTCCGGCCCGGGCTACGTCATCCCTCACACCGGAGCAGGCGGGGCTACCGACGCTCCGGCCCGGGTCATAGCATGCCTCACACCGAAACAGGTGCGCCTACCCACGTCCGGCCCAGGCTATGTCATGCCTCACATCGGAGCAGGTGCGCCTACCCACACGCCGATTCGGACTTTGTCATGCCTCTCACCGGAGCAGGTGCGCCTACCCACACGCCGAGTCGGACTTTGTCATACCTCTCACCGGAGCAGGTGCGCCTACCCACACGCCGAGTCGGACTTTGTCATGCCTCTCACCGGAGCAGGTGCGCCTACCCACACGCCGAGTCGGACTTTGTTATGCCTCACACCGGACTGTCTTCCCAAGCTCCGGCCCGCAGCCTTAATCAGGGATGGTAAAAGTGTACTTTTCGTCACCGATCAAATTTCTGGAGTAACAATTGTCGCCAGTAGCTTTATGCGATATCGTATGACAAAATGGTCAATATCTTCAAGCCCAGTAACGTCATGAGTAATCAGGCTATCACTGAAAGTCTGTCTCATCGCTGTTATTTTCAATATCATGCACACAACCGAAACGTTCAATCATGCGCTGTCCTTCAACAAATATCAGGATAAGTGCTGCTGCTAGGAAAGCAGGCACACCTGCCGTAGACCAATGAGATAGCCCAATGACAACGGGAGCTTTCTTCCACCCCCGGGACTTGCCAGGGTTCGCGTATTAACACGATCTACCGCTGGTTGTGCTTTCCTCGACCGCAAAAAACAACAACAAAGGACCTCGATAGCCAGTACAGCAGAATGCATTGGCGATTTCGAACCAGTGACAAGCGGCACTGGGAATGACGTCAAATATGGGGCCTACACGAGAACGTGCCTTATAAAAATCACGTGCGCGTTACGAGCCCGATCTCAATCGCGATCAAAATGTCCGCTACACCTTACGCATGCTTCAAGCCTGGCGCGACATGTTTTGACTGGTGGGCGCCTTTTGCCGTGCCCCAACAAGTGAATTGTGTCGAAATTTGTCAGCAACTTCACATCAGGCGGCTAGTTTTTTTCTGAATAAGTTCCTCGCCCGGACAGGAACCGGACGCTACGACCCCCCCCCCCCCCCCTCCTTACGGTTTTCGGCGGATACTAATGTGGCTCACTATGCATCTCGTTTAAATCTTTGGTAGCCTCTGGGACATCCACTTTGCGCGTGTTGACACAAAAAGTGTCTCTAGTTATTCTGATTTCAGGGAAGTTTTTACGCGCGCTGCAAAACGGTTCAAGGCCGGCGGGTGTGGCGCAGTGTCCTACAATTGCCGGCTTTGCGTGTAAAGCAACACCCTATGAGGAGGAACTTTTTACCCCTTTTCCCCATATTGTATGTGAATTTTTCACTCACGCCGGACATTGTCTAATCGCACATGCCGAACCCCTATTTCCCTTTCTGAGGTTTTCAACTGTCTTCCAAAACCGAGCTCACTTGAAACCACCAAGCAGAAACGAGGCTCCACAGAACCTGGACACCTATGGCTATGTCCTACCTCACCTACACCTGAAGCATATATATGTATGCACAGAGCAAGGGCGCCAGGTACCTCCAAGCCCAAGAACCCCAGCGACGCCAGCCGCTTACACCCATTAAGTTTGGTTGGTTTGCAAAATGCATTACAGTCGGCAGCTGTGTGCCAAATGCAAGGTTTTCACGCATCCCCTATTTTTCGTCTCGCCACCACATCACGAAAGCAGAGCCTGGTGCAAACACCAGCAAGGCCTGGTAGATAATTTTACTCCACGTGTTTCTTTTTCCCCGAGGAAACTTGACCATTAAATTCCATCACTCCCGAAATGCAGGAGTGAAAGATTCAAGAAATGTCTTCCAAATTAAATTTACGCGATGAATATCACCATTTGAGCACTTCTTTTGATATAATTTAAGTCAAATCAGCTGATTACAAAATTTTGCCGGAAAAGTATCAGCCTTTGTATTTGTTTAACTACTTTTATCTCTCTTGGTATCATACAAGTGTAATACCACTTTATCCCTCCTTTCTTTTGGATTGCCTTAGATGTACCATCTGTTGCTTAAAATGTTGACCAATATCTCTGCAAGATGCTTCAACTGCAAGCTTGTACGTATTTCATACATAAACTGGATTAATTCGCCAGCCCGCCCAAACATGCTTGATATGCACCCAACAGTGAACAATTCACAGGGAGTGAAGGGGACAATTTGAAGCACGGAACTTACTTTTACCGCCATTTTTGCCCCGTTAAACCCTCGTTGAACCGTTTTCTTGGTTCATGGCGGTGCTCAATAATGATAAATATAAGCCTTTCGTGTGTCTAACTCACCAGGCTACCTGACAAGGCCATCCTAATGCTGCGATACAAAGGTTTGAGACAGACCTGACGCAGCCAATACAGAAGTATTTGATGGCGAAATTCTGCCCTCTGGAGATGTTTATCATGCACACCTTATACCTGTTTAGCATTTTAATCTCGTAGGTTGGTGGGCATGATTGATATTTACATTTGAGGGTTGAG